AATTTTGGTGTAAAAACAAATGCATTCCTTATTTGGTAGCTGTCTTTTTTGTGGGTGAGGTTTTGGAAAGGTTCTTACAAAACTCTCTTCTTCTTCCTCAAGAGAAAACCTTCATATTTTTCATCTTTGAGTTTTCCAAATTGATTTTTCGAAAACTGCATTTGAAATATGAAAACCTCATCTTGCTAGATCAAACACTCTCTCATATATATATCCAGGTCAGATTCAAGATTGATTTCTTCACAAGTATGGTTTCTTGAAGAAATTGGTCAATTTCTCCTTGAATCAAAATTTCGTTTTTGTCTGAGTTGGAGCTAGCTAAATGGTGCCATGGGATGAATGAGCTGAAGAAGGAGCTGCCATTGCCATGAAGGACCAAGCTGCTGGTTTTGTGAAGCTGGAGAAGAAGATTGCACAAGGAAATGTATAGCTCATCTTCCTAAATAGACCTAGGATTTGTTGAGCTTGCTAGTGTTTCTTTGTAAGAATCTTTTTGCTTAGTGAATTTCCTGGTCGGTTGATGACCCCCAGTTTTTCCCAATGGTGGGTTTCTGGGTGACCAATTTCTGGTTTGCATCTATGTAATTTTCTGGGTTTGTGTTCTGGATAGTTGACTAGTCATCAAATGATGTTAATGTATTTTTGGGTTAGTGTTCTTACGGTTGACTAGTCATCATTTTATGCTGTCTGATGTTTACTTGATTATGATGCTTTCACACACTTTCACCATAGTTGTTGATAGCACAGGGGATGCCTAGATTGACGGGTCCTTCTGAGTGCCTAAGTTGTCATTAGTAATTCTCTAGGCTTGAAGGTACATATTGATATGCTCTGTGTATGTTCTTGGTTGTGATTACTCATGTCTGACAGTTGACTAGTCATAAAAGTATTTGGTCAATGCCTAAAGTGTGTGAAATTTTTTGTGGTTTTGTTTGAGTGTCATTTGAATTTACCCCTCGTCATCTAAGTACCAATTTTAAGATCCTCCATCGGCATTCTCATGCTTTACCTTCTTCATCCTCCATCAACCCTAGTGATCCCACCTCCATCTCCAAATCCTTCTCCACTGCCCATGACCTGTTCTCTAAGCCCACCTATTAATCTTGATGCCATCACCATCCCCATCCCAATCCCAAGCCATCACCAACCCCACCCCCGCCCCCACCACAAACCAAGTTGCACCGCCCAACCTCCCTCATCCCCAGCCCTCTCTCTCTCTCTCTCTCTCTCTCTCTTCCCCCCAAAACTTATCAAGACACCCAACCCCCTCCTTCTTCGACGAACCCGACTGAACCATCACCACCGTAACCTTCACATCACCCAAAAACTCACCCCATGACTCATGCATGCCTTGCCTTCTCTCCAACCATCCTCTACGGTGTCCCCAAATTCAACCTCCACTTCATATTCAAATAGAGAGAGAGAGAGAGAGA